TTATGATCAGACTTTAGAAGTGCTTACAACATCCCGCCAATATACTGGCAACTAATGGGCAATAGTTGGGTTGTAAAATAGCATCAGCTTTGATCTTTTAAATTGTATACCTTTCTCGGACATAGCGAAATAAGACATGCAGAAAGCAATATAATCCAAGACGAGTGTTGAGAAAAAGAGCATAAAAGTAGTATAGCCAGATCTGATTAGGCATACACTGATTCCAGATCATCTAAAAGGATTTCTCGCATATCATTCGAAATTTCTGAAGCACTCTGATCATTAACACTGTTAACAGAGTTCTCAATTCAGTGCTCCAATTTGTGATCATTTATAAAACGAATATATTAGAGAGAAAAACGTTTTCATGTTTATTCTGAAGAAAATGCTTTCTATGGTAGTAAATCAAAAATTATTGATAGGAACACAATCTATCAGGAATGCGGTATAGCCATTTGTTTCTCGTGTGATCAATCCCGAATTTACTGCACCACCTGATGTGATATAAGTGATCCAAAACTGGCAAACTAATAGAACAACTCTAGTTCCCTGCCAGTTTCATGACAGCTCCAGAATACTACCAGGTCGCTACCATAGCGCCAAGTTGGAATCTCAAATTATGTGTCTAAAAGATCAGCCAAAATTATGGTATAATGTCAGCCAAATCAATCTTGAATTTACTGCATCACCCGACACAATTTTTTTTTATACTATTTCAGCAACTTAAAAGGTCAGCAAATAGGTCACACCCTCAACTTCAAATATGATAACCAAAAGGGTTATAGAGTGGAAAACTAACTTTACTCTTATACAATCGTTAAAAAGCTCCAGAATGAAAAAACAAACCTCTGCCCTATTTAGCGACCAAATAGTCACAGACCAGTGAAAACAGATGGATAGCAATAAATCATCAGAAGGGGCATAAACACGTAAAAACAAGCAAGTAGGTATCACTATCTATAAGTAGGTATCACTATCTATAAATAGGTATCACTATCGCGTAAGTAGATAGATTAAGTAGGCATCACTATATATATAGTGATGCTTACTTAATCTATCTACTTATGGGAATACTCCTTTTTAAAATAAAAGCTTGATCTTGTCTATTAAGTAGCCTTTCTCTGTAAAATATCTAATAGTTAGGAAAAAATTTTCGAGTTTTCTTTCTAGATATTCTACTAATTTATTTAATCCTATTCTCATATGCTGAAAGCTATCAAGAAATCAGAGCTGATCAACATCCATAGCTTTATACTTTCTAATATTTTCTAGGATGCAATTTAACTTGTCAGCCATAAATTTTGAAATAACTTTCATGAGCAGATGTAAGTCATATCCTCAAAAATTATGACAAATAAAAGGTACTTTAGTTTTGAAAGAACTTATGCATAACTTTTATTACAAGAGTCATAAGCTGAACCTTGGTTGTTTTCACTTATATAATCATAATCTTTTACTTTTCGATTGAGCATACTTAAGGCTTCTCAGTATCTTTTCTGTGCCTCTTTCTTTTCAGAATATTCTTTTCCTATGCTTGCTTTTCACTCGTTTACTTCTAGCAATCTTAGCTTTACTTTTTTGAATTTTTACAATACTTCTAGTGATAGTTTGAGAAAAGGCTTCTTGCAAATCTAGCATTCGCTTACTTTATTGTACACCTTCAAGTCTTCTGATATCATTATTATTTTAGCCAGTACAGATAAATCTTTTTAGATAACTAAGAGTTCCTCTTTAATTTTGATAATAAATTTTTCTAGTGCATCAGGTATTCTATATAATTCGTGACTTATAATTTCATAGTTAAGTGAACTATTCATATGAATAATCACATAGTAGTACTCACATAGTTTATGCTTCTGCATCCTTTCAGTAGAAATTAACTTTGTTTCCTCTTCTGGAGTCAGCTTTTCAGTTAGCATTTCAAGATCTCAGATTATTCAATATGGATTTGATTGCATGTATTTATGATTATAGAAAACTTTGATACTCCTATTCTTCACTAGCATTTGTAATCATTAGGAGGCATTATTTAAACCCTTGCATTTTAACAAATATTCATTATATCTTATCTTTAAAGAGTATACACGAAGACAATAATGATAAATATATTTTCGCCCTTTATGTTTACTATGATTATATACTAACTTATGTAAATCTTTGATAATATAGTAATAGCTTTTATTATCTTCTGTAATTACTAGAAAATTTACTTACTTGTATTTATCTCCTCTTTTTTCTGAAATATAGCGAAAATCAAGACACTTATTCTGGTTGTACTATTCATAGACATATATACTGATTTCAGATCAAAGCACAAATAGAAAGTTCTAGTGTAAATATGAGCAATAAGAAGAAGCTACATGTGATAATTTCAACTCCAATTTCTAAGCTAGAACCTGAAAAGGAAGCTCTAGTACTTAGTGTCAACTATATCACTGAAGAGGAGGCAAAGAATTGGATTATTATTTTTATAATATTTTAATAAAAATGACTTTAATTTTTCAATCTTTTCTAAAAAAATATTTTGCAGGTGTAAAAGTAACTATTATATCTGTATTTACTCTTTCTCTTTTATTTATTGTATCTGCAAATACAAACTAATTTCATCTAAACTGATCACGGAACTCTCGCCCGCTACGACAGCGCTGAATTTTTAGCTAGCATTCCATCACGTAATGAGATCATAGTAGAATATGATAACGGAATGACAGCTATACTTCAACAAAGCCTATCCGACAAGCAACCCATACATTTTATGCCTACTGAAGTTAGTGATGATACCAAATATATAAATGGGTTTCTACTTATATTTTGCGCATTAGTGGTTACTTGATTAATGGGCAAAAAGTAGTCGTGAATATTACAGACATCTGACCCTTCTTTGATGTCAAAATTTCTGAAGATATACCACTATCTACGTTTAAGACCAGATTAGTAAATATATTATCCAATACTCTTAAAGGTACATCAAAATTTGGGATCGAGGATATTCATGCTTTTCCACTTCAGGGTTATTATACAGAAAAGAAAGCATATATCCGTATAAGGACGTGGAACTATTTTGATTGGTATAATGCTCTAAAAGCAGTTCGTGAAGTCAGCATTTATACAGCCTCAGATGATCTAAACTGCCAGTATTATTACCGCAAAATAGCTCGTGAAGAACGATTACCTCTTTCAAGTTGGGCTGTATTAAGCAATTATTTATACGAATTCACCCTAAATGGTATTTACTTATTTCGACTATCTGTGAATAATTATAATCCAATAAGTGAGGATGATTATAATAATTCATTATTCTCCTTAGCACTTACGAGGGATCGAATCCTCATACTCACATGAGATATTGAGACATATAGTTTACAAAAAACAGGTGAGGTGCCTAACGCAAAATATGATGAAGACAAAGTGTTTATGATTTGTATGACAGTGTATTGGAAAGATGATCCTGAACCATTAAAACAAATCTGTCTTGTCGATGTTGAAACAGCGCCAGACTCATGCTTAATCACAATTGTATGTGAATCTCAGACAGATTTACTAAAAGCATTCATTTTATGTTAGAAACTTCTAGCCCCAGACATACATATAGGTTTTAACGATTCTCAATATGATTGGCGGTTTATTATGAAGAAAGCTAATAAATTAGGGATTCTCGAATGGATGTTCAATCATATGTCATTCAAGCCATCCAGCCTGGAAAAAATTATAAAATGGGAATATCGATATAATATGATAAAAGTAAATGATAGGAAATTCCATTCGAAACATCTTAAAATTCTGGGATGTGTAGCTATTGACGTCTGACCCTGTTTTATAGGAATTTATTCTAAGGCTGAAAAGAGTAGTTTAGCATTTTACCTAAATGAATATGGGCTCGAAAGTAAAATGGATATGCCTATTCACCACATGAACAAATATTATGAAAGGCATTAAAAGAGTCAGATTCCATATCGGCTGAACAAATGCACGAAGTAGCCAAATATTGTATTATCGACGCTCTTAGTTGCCAGTGATTAATGGTAAAGCATAATGCAATTAATGAGTATAGAGAGGTGGCATCTGTAGCCTTCATATCATTATATGATTCACATTATTTTGCAATAGGAATGAAAGTGCGTAATCTTTTAAATGCCGGTGCGTGACAGAAAGGGATTTTAACTAGCACAATTCTATGTGAATAAACGGAAACAGGGAAGTACCCTAGAGCCTATGTTTTTTTACCAGTAAAGGGTCTTGAAAATAGATGACCTGTAACCGGCTTAGACTTTGTATCATTGTATCCAAGCCTTATCATGACATATAATCTCTCACCTGATAAAATCATTTTATCTCGAGAGTGTGCCAAATCTCTAAAGGAGAGCGGTAAAAACTTCATGAAATTAATTTCAAATTCAATGGTCGCGATGTTCTCGCATAGTCTATAGAGCATGAAAACCAAGCCGAAATGAAAGGCCTTTATCTAAAAGTATTAGAGGAGTTGCTTATTAGACGTAATTCACTAAAAAGCCGTCTTGCTCCATTAAAGAATAAAAAAGAAGAATTAGAAAAGGAGATTAGTTTGGCGGAAGCAAGGGGCGAGGACATTACAGATGCTTTAAAATCTGAATACTCTTCAGTTTCCTTTATTGTCGCCTGTTTAGACGCAAAACAACTCGCTTTAAAAGTGTATATGAATACGTTTTACGGTGAAGCCAGGAATAGTGGATCTCCTTTCTTCTTGCGAGCATTAGCAGGCGGGGTAACATCAGCTGGTCAGCGGAATATCAAGTTTATTGCTGATCTTGTCAGAAGTAAAGGGTTCAGTGTAAAATATGGGGACACTGATTTATTATACCTTGTTTGTCCAGAAGAATATTTCTGGGAGTGTGATGAGAAATATATTTCAGAAAAGATATCAAAGGAAAAGTACTGGATGAATATCTATGGAGGCAATGAGCGAACTCTGAGGCGAAGTTAATGACTTTCTCAGGGAAGATAACGGATCCCCTTATCTCAAAATGGCATATGAGAAAGTCTTATTTCCGGTAGTATTTACTGGAAAGAAAAAATACTACGGCATTTCACATACAAATAAGCCCAACTTTAATAATAAGCTTTTCATTCAAGGGGTTGAGATTGTAAAGCGGAGGCAGTCTAAACACTTTTGTGAGGTGGGTAAGAAGGTCATGGATGAATCTATGAGGCTGGATAATGATAATACTCGCACCTTGCATCGGATTGTGGAGGATGTGCTCAAAGAGACCATAAATAATATTTTACAGATAGATCTTAATGGAGTGGTTAAAACTGCTGTGTGGAAGCCCGATAAAAATAACAAGAGTGTCTAGCATTTCATTTTACAAATGCGGGATAGACATACCCGTGAAGAAGCGGATGCCAAATGACGCATAAAAAAGGGCCTAACACCCGAGCCTTATCTTTATGAAATCCCAGAACCAGGCGAACGCTTTGAGTATATTGTAGTTGAGAATGATTCGTCACAGAGG